AAATACAGTTGTCCAAGTGTCCACGATCACGAGTCGAAAAGGGTAATTTTTCTGAAGTCGCAAGGAGGAGTTGAAGCTCGCTCTTGAGGGCCCAGAAGAGGTGGAGGCGGTGGAGGAGGTGACCCATGATGAACCTTCGGAGGCAGAGTCTGAGGCTTCAGAGTTTGGTTTCAAAGCCAAAGCACCTCTGAAGCAACCCAAGAGGCAGGAGCAGCAGCCAAAGCCTGACAAGAATCAGGCCAAGAATGAGAAGACGGAAAAGGCCCTGGCACGGGTATTGGCCAGCCTTGACGTGACACCACTGGCTATTTGGCAGGAGTCTGTGAAGACCAAGGACGTCGAGAATCGTGTGGCCAAGGCCATGGACCTGGCCCAGAAGATGGAGCTCGGCGATTCTACTGCCAAGGAGAAGGCAAACGACCTTACAAGCCGCGCAAAGCTCCTGACCAACTACTTGGAGGTCTTGGCCTTTGATGTGACCGGTGATCTGAAGACCGTATTGGCAGCCTTTGATGGTGCGAAGATGGAGCTGCTTGCCCAGTTGCCTGCAGATTGCTTGAATGCAGTTCTGTCTGACATTGGGCGCAAAGTCTTGGAGGACTTGATATTTTGTCAGAAAAATTAGAAATCATGGGACACCTTACGTTTTTCCCACCATCGTGCGATTCATGATTATGTCACAATGTCTTCGGAATTTGTGTGCGTCATTTGTCAGAGGGCGATGCAAGCCGCATCATGCGATTTCTGACTCTGGAGGACGTAGCTGGTTCAAAAGAAGTGGATCCAGCCTTCTTTGATTACATCAGCGTGAATGACACCGGGCGAACGGGTCTGACCCTACATGCTCTCTACAAGCTACACACTGCTGACAGCGACTTCACTTGGTCCACGGCAGATGTGCTCAGGCTTCAGACCTCGCTGTTCACTCTTTGTGTTGACAAGATGAAGGTGTTGCCAGAAGACGCGGTGCATAAGTGTTTGCTTGGAATCCCTCAAACGTATTGGAACCCAGACTACGCCAGGCCGAGTTTGGAACACAACATGCTTTGTCTCAAGGGGGGGGGGCGGGAGGGGTGTTCAAGCGGATAGCCCGGACATGTTCTTCTTTGCTGTTCTCTAAGGTGTTTTTTTTCCAGCCCCATCAGGCAGTGCGCTTCTCACCCTGCAAGTGATTGCCTGCATCAGAGCGACACACAGGGGCTTACCCCACGGGTCGTCGTGGATTTGCACAAGTTCCTTGCCATGCAAAAGATGCTTAACACGGAGTCATTGACTGTCGAACAGATTGACGGGCTGCAAACAGTGACTGGACTGACCAGCAGCAGCACTCCTCGTGTGAACCTCTTGGTCCGTTCCTGTGGGCCGCTGAGGCCAGGTTCTGAAGAGCGCGATCCACGGTCCATGGTTGATGAAATGTTTTAAGTGGCGGCCCAATTATGGTTAAAAAAAGGCATCAAGCACAAACCCTGCTTGCTTGTTTTTGCCCAGGAGTCTCTGGGAGCAAGTTGGGGAAAAGTCCAAGTCTTCTGCACTCCGCACAGCAGCAATCAAGAATGCTGATGGCATTTCCGAGGGCTTGCTCAAACTAGCTGAGCAGCTTGAACAGTATGCCGCTGACCCCACCAATGAGCCAATGCTTTCACTGGTTTTGCAGATTGCCAAGAAGTGCCCTGGAGCTTGCGATGTACTGGATGCTTGCAAATCCTCTGATGACACTGAGGCCAAGGGCAAAACGGAGATGATCAGTGCTGGCATTGAAAAGGTTCGCCGCATTCTTGAGTCCTCCTACAATGGTTCGACCAGCTTTGGTGATAGCCTTGACACTTTTTTGGTCGATGAGCTTTACCTCAAGCAGCCTGACAATGCCACCGCCACTCTCACTGTTTTCTTCCGCAATTTGATGATTGAAGGCAGATGGCTGTTTATTTTCCCTTTGACTTGGGGCAAGTTTGGAGGTACACGGTACACATGTGTTTTTTATCCGCGCCGCATTTGAGGCAATTCGATCATTCGTTGTTTCTCCCAACAGGTGAGATCTACAGCACTGTGCTTGGCCGAAAGAAGCAGAGTCATTTGCTCGACGTCAGCAAAGTCCTCCTTGACTTCCACTTGGCCTGCCCGGATTTGGATTCCATCACTTTGGAGCAGGCTTGCAATTTGCAGGCAAAGCTCGAAAAGCTTAACCACAAGATCCAGCAAATCCCAGGTGATGTGTCTGATGGAGTCTCAAAGTGGGCCACACCGTTTCAGAATGCAGGCCAGCGATTTTCCAAGCTTCTGGTGACAAAGGCTACATCTTGGATCCAGGACATGATCAAAGAGAGTGGCACCAATGGTGCGTGGAAGTACTTGCTCTCTTGCCCAAGTCTTCCGAGCAGTTTGAAGCCCTTTTCGGCTGTGATTGCTCAGGCCACATTCTTGGATGAGCTGAAGGTCCCCAGTGAAGGCACAGCCGAAGTGGCAGAGCTCATGCAGAGGACCAAGGCTTACATAACTGTCAAAAGCCTGGACCCAACCTCTTTGGAGGCTTTCTTCCCAACCACAATGCCAAACTCCAAGAGTTTGTGGAGAAGGTTGAGGAGAACATCCTCAAGTTTGTGAACAAGTTGAAAGCCAAGACGGAACCAATGATCAAGACCTTGGACAAGTACAGGCTGGGTGTGGTTTTGAAAGAGATTGTCAGGTTCGAAGCAGTTGAGGGGGTCGAGAGTTGTAATAATATATTATGGTAATATAATATAAATATAAATAATATAATATATAGTATGTTTCCAGGGAGTGAGAGTTCCTTCTCTTCCAAGATCTTCCCAGGCCCGTGGTGGACGCTATTGAGCTTTGGAAGATCGAGCCAGTGATGTGGGCCTTGACTGGGGAGAAGGAAGTCGATGCCGAGGTTGAGCAGCTTGTGCAGTTCCGGTCGAGCCTGTTGGAGTTCACCAACTACTTCCAGACAGCATTGGCCCTCAAGACTCCCAGCTTGCAGGGTGTGGCGGCTTTTCAGGAGATGTCCGTTTTTTCTCAAGACGCTTGAGGCTCGGTTTCCATGTGGGTCAGGGATCCAGTGTGGAAATCGTTTATCTTTTTTCAATTTTGTAACCTGTAAATAACCTGTTCAAGTTCTGTTGCTAAGTCGAACCCATTGCCCTGTGCAAATGTGCGGCCTTTCGAACTGACGTGGGCTACATCGTTGGATCCATGGGAGTGGTCCAGGTCATGCATTCCAACCAAAACGCTTCTGCAGATGTCAAGTTGGCCCAGGCACGAAAGGTTGCAGGTTCCATCGCGAAGGAGTTCGGGATGTCCCCGAAGGACCTCCCACCATCGGTGCAAACTCACTTTGCAGAGTTTGGTGCCAAGCTGAGACTCGTTGATCTTGTTTGATCTTTTTTTTAATGGTTGGTTCAACCTGTGTTCTTGGTGCATTTTGGTTCCTGGGGGGGCCTTGACCTGGATGTGTGTAGGTCAGTTCTAGTAGGTCGACTATGCATCAGGGTAGCAAATATAATAGACTTTTATAGACTTGTCTATTCACTGCCACCCCTATCTTTCAAGGAAATTACCAGCAGATGAAGCCAAGAAGGGCAAGAAGCGAGGTGGGGAAGCCACTCCAAAGGCCAAGCCAAAAGCCAAAACGGCAAAGTGACAGATGCGATGTTTCACGTTTTTTGTGTTTGGCCAGTTCAATGGGGAATTGGACCTTAGGGCCTTAGAGTGCGTGATCGCATTTGCTTCGAGCAATACTTGGAAAGCAGTTGAGTGGAGAAAAAACTGTTTGGCGCATGTGCGGGTGAGAGTATAAGGAATCAGGAGCTTATGGTAGTTCCTGGCATGCCATTGTTTGTGACCCCCACGCTTCCCAAGGTGTAGAGTAGGCAGAAACCACAGATTTCAGATGCTAGATGCTAGGGATTTATATATAGATCCAAATAGATCCTGGAGATTTATATATAGATCCAAATAGATCCTAGTGGCCAACAGACAAAGAGGCCCACGCACCCTCTAATACTTGATTGAATTGATTAGGCAATTCATAAACTACGGGAGAATTCTTTTCCAAGGCCGGGGAGAGACCAGCTATTAATCGGGGTGGTTATGAATAGAGGGTCCCCAATTGAAAGCTTGAAAGGGTATTTTGGGGGGTAGGGTTTTGTAAAAAAATAATTCCCGGAGCCAGTGGATTTCAGATGAGTTCAGTTCAGTCTACATGGAGAGTCTAGGTTTATAAATAGTGTTATAACGTGGACCATGGGTATGGTTGGGTCAGCCAACTTCCAGAGGGATACCAAGTATATAGGTATGGAGCCACATTCAATTTCCTAGGTCCTAGTAACCTAGGTATGGAGGAGGATGTCTGGTGTTGTCACTCTCAGAAGCTGCACGAGATTGTATACAGCGGGTTTGTGACTTGAACGTGTGGATAGCGATTCGTTGGTGGATCTAATCCTGGAGGTGGACCACCATGGCACTGGCAAGGTTCTTACACCGGGGGGGTGAGTGAGCATTGCATGGGTATGCCCCATGTCGTGCCCCATGGTGTCTCATACTTTGGCCATTTTCAAGCAGATTCCGTGGAAACCAACGACATGTCATGGTACCCAAACGTTTGAGGGCGCGCTGGCTGAAAGGTCCTTCATCACCGTCAGACGAAAGCGTTCTTCAAGAACGAAATGGTTCGATGGGACGCAGTGTCGAAACATCGTGTTCACAAGTTGATACGCCCCTAGCGCTCCAAGTACCTTCTAAGAAGGTGTTTGGGGATGTTTGGGGTGGGTTTAGAGAGTCCAAATACCTTCTGAGGAGGTACTTGGGGCCCTAGGGACGTATTAGATCTCTACAAATCTTATGGCCAGGACCTTCAAAGCGACAGTGTTTGTTGTCTCCCAGGATGAGGAGTGCCCTTGGTCCCTGAATGCATTTCGAAAACACATGGGTTTTGAACAAGTCAGCTCTCACTTTGGACACTTCACACGTTTCCAGCCTTGCTATTCCCCGCTCTTCAGGCCGTCGCAGATGGACACAGTGGCGGGCGATCCCCGCCCACAGGTCACAAGCTTAGTGTCCGACGAGGTGTCCGAGCAGACTAGGGATGAGCCAAATTCCTTCGCCTAGGGCTCCAAGTACATCCTCAGAAGGTGTTTGGACCCTCCAAACCCACCCCAAACACCTTCTCAGAAGGTACTTGGAGCCGTAGGGTTCGTTTGAGTCGCTCAAAGGTTGGAGACAGAAACACCAAGGTTTCTTGGTCACGGATACGAGTCGAATCTGAGTCGAATGAATGGTCAGTTGGCGGGGATGAAGGTTGGGGATGAGATCACGGTTTGCCCAATCTGAGAGACCCACATGGAAACCCCAATCTGAGACCCACATGGACTCGAAAATGGCGGTATCCCCATCTTAAAATACATATCACCTGGGGTGTGGAAACTGCCAGGAGAGAGCACTTTTGGGATCTTGTGGGTAGCTATACCCACTACACCTTCCGAACACCTCACATGGAAAACCAGCGCTGTTCTTACAAAGGAAAGTTGTTTTCCTGTCGACTATGCCATCCACTTCCAGGATCTTCCAGGTTAGTCAGTGAGAGTGATCTATATACTAGTACCCCTAGGATTCCAACAACCATTATTTTAATGTGTTTGTTTGCCAACGAACCATTGTTTTACTAAGGATTTGTACACTACACCACCGGCTCAACCGTGCCTTTGATGGTCTTTGAAGGCTAAGGTAATATATATATTATATATATATATGTACGACTATATAATATACAGTAATATATACATATATATATATATATACCAGCAGTCACAAGACCGGGTGCTTAATGGAGGTTAAGGGTGCCCATTATCCACTCACTTAGGGACTAAACACCACCCCTTTGTGACTCCTGGTACGTATTTGGGAAAATTCTCCTTCCAAAGAAGGCTTTGTTCCTCACCCTAATGCCCACTTCCATGCTTGTTGGAGGGAGGTTACTTTTGCTGGCTGCATGTCGACTAGATCAGTGGTACCTTTTGTGCTGAGAAGGTAATGCTTTTTCAGCTCGAGCACCAGCGACAACTCAAGCTGGCCAGTCTTATTGTCCACATATTGTCTATTGTACTTCGGGATGGGTATTTTGGCAGAACATGAATTATTAGGTAGTCTTTTCTGATTTCATCAACAGCCAACTATTCTTGCAGGATGGTTCTGCATGCTGTATCTATCGACGCGCACCACACCCACCCAAACCCTGATGCCTTTGTACCCTACAAAATCTGACAGAAAGGAGCCTTTGGAGTGAATCAACAACCACGGCCCCCAAATTCAGGGGTGTCCAATAAAATAGTTGAATAGCAACTTGGGGGGGTTCTTATAAGGGGTGTCAGGGATGTCCATCAACATCCACCCCTTTCTACTAAACTCCCTGCTATGGCGGGTCTTTGAGGAGATCCGATGTTGAAAGCTGCGGATTTCCCTAGGCGGATCAGCTTGATGAGCTTCCAGCTCGTGTCCAGCTCATGGACTCTGTGGTCCAGAAGCACCGCCGAACTCTTGGCGAACGCGGGTCGTTTTTCACGGAAGAGAGACCCACGAACCTGAGTTCACCATGTCGGGTGGGTAGTCGGAGTTCATCATCTTCCAGTCTGCTCCAAGCGGCGCCCGGTTCTTGCGACTCGGGTGCCATCTCCACCAGACCAGGTTGACATCCCCCCCATCTCCAAGTCGTGCCCCGAGGACCCCGGTCAAGTCTCCACCGATCAGAGGTCGCTAGAGCGAAGTCCTGACGACCTCCAGGGGCCCTGGGTCGAGAATGGCCTGCAATAGGATAGCCAATCCACGGCGATCTATTCTGTTCATGTTGGGTGGACAAAACATGGAAACAAAACACATGGATTTTCTCCCTGCTGAGCGTTCATTTTCACATGAAGTCATTCACCTTGGGGAAAAGAACACAGCAGGGTATGTTCATGTATTTTCCCTCAGATCATGGAAGAGTTCTGTAAGTAATACAATGTATAATGTATACTGTATACATTAATCTTTGAACATGACCCACGTGTATAGGCCCGGTCCCCTTGAAAAAGCGGGCTTGAACCGGGCTCAAACCTCTGGGAAAACAACTGCTGACGTTTCTGGAGACCACATGAGACCACAAAAAAACACAAAAAGTCGTAATACGAGGGGGTTTGTCCAAGGATCGGGTTGTGGAACGGACGGCCTGCAATTGCCAGAATCCGACCCGGGCCTTTTATCCCGGGTCGGACCTTTTCCCGACCTCTCCGCAAGGGTCCGGACCTGGTTCCCAAAACCCTATGTCTTGATTCGGGCCCGGATTCTTAGGGTGAATACGTTTGAGATCGGGGCAACACTGCGTCAACCGGCTGACCGAATCGACTGTTTGACTTTGGATTTAGATGGCACAACCCCATCTAAAAGACCAATTAGAGGGTTGAGCCATCTGATCTACTTTGAAACCACTGTATACTTGTCTACTCTTGCATCTTGCACAAATTTCACTGGACCTGCTTCCATGTTACACATATTACAGAGCAAGCTATAGCGTCCCTCTGTTCGGGAAGATGGTCTTACTCCAGCACTGTGGACCTCGAAGTTGTCCACCGGATTCATCAACGGGGACGATGGTCTTCTCTTCTGCAGGTTCAGTTGTTCCGTTGCTTCGAGGAGCGTTGATCAAGGACAAGATGAGGGTGATGGAATTCCTCGAGGAGAATGGCTTCGAATCAAGTAATGTGAACAGCAGGAAGCAGAAATGGAAGATCTTCTCAACCTATCCTTTGCACGAGGCCCCTCGGTTCTCGCTCGCTTTTTCGTTTGGGCCACACCTCCCGCCAGGTTTGCACGACTTGGAGATGGCCTCCAACCAAGTATCAAAAGAAACCTAATTGCAATGGCCTCCCACCTGCAAGCGATGGCCTGCACCTTAGTAGTGATGGCCTCCATCCTAATAGCAATGGCCTCCAACCTACTATCACTTGAATCGAAGATAATCGATGTGTATATGGCACCTATCAGTTGGGTGGTTGGCCTGGGGTCTTTCTGGGGCGGCATATGGCTTTGGGTCAAAACCGCTAGGTTGACCTCCAGCCATGGCTCCTGTAGGTAGCCCATTCGGTGAATTTTGTGTTGGACAAATCAAGGTACCCTGTTGCCATGACACACAGCCCACAGCCATATTTATATTCCAGTCCACAGCACAGGTCAGATCTAGGCTTGGGAAACAAGACGACCCGTTTGAGCCACACACTGGAGATACAGGTCACTGAGTCGCGACTCCACAAACTTAAGGTCCTGGCAATCATTGATCCTTCAATATTTTCTCATACCTACCATTGACAAGGCAACTTTGCTCTTGACCCGTGGTGAAACCATGTTAAACCCTTTCGGCGCGGGCCCCCCGAGCAGCCGTTTTGGTGTGAAATTGACATTCATTTGTTGACTGAACAGTTGCTGGAGGCCGTGAAACAGGGCAATCACCAGATGGTCGACTTGCTCTTGAAGTTTGGCGCCAATGTGCATACCACGGACTACCGCTGGCGCAGCGCCTTTGCTTTGGCCCAGCAAAAGCAAGATCGAGCTGCGATGGAGGTCTTCCAAAGGACACGGCTCTGGGTTATGCTGAGCGATGTCAGCATGGCAATGTACCCAGTGCTTCCAATGGGTGTCCAATGGAGACCTATACAGTTTCAGAGTAGATATCACAACCCCCCCACCATGCTTTCTTTGGGGATTGTACCGTCTACTCTGAAACCACTGTATGATATAGCACGCGTTTGCCATTGGTGACCCGGTATACATCAGCCACCCTGAAGGTCAGGAAACTGATTTCATGGAGTTCATGATACAAAGACACTACTCCAGCAGTCACAAAGGGGTGCTTAATGGAGGTTAAGGGTGCCCATTATCCACTCACTTAGGGACTAAACACCACCCCTTTGTGACTCCTGGCTTATTCAGGTTTAAGGACCAGGTTTGGATGTCACCAGGTTTTGGGTTTGGGGCCCAACTGCGCCCTGCCGTCCAGTTCTTTGCGAGCCTTGCCGGAGATCGAGCAAGTATCTACCTAGACGTGACCTCTAGTTTTCATAAGCAACCACCCAACAGATGGCCTTTTTGATTTGTTCCCTATCAAAACAACGATCGCTCTAGGTAATGAGTCATGTGGAATGTGATCAGTTTCATTTCTGGTGCCTGACCGACATGACTGTCCAGAAAAACCAGTAAAACCGCCAGTGCCAGGCTGTGCCAGGGTGACGCCGGAGCCGTGACGCCGGTGCTCCGTCCAACGATTTCACTCGACATGGTCGAAGGGTTTTCATCAGTTGAGAGATCTGCCAGGAGGGGACTCTCTCCGTCATCTCCCTATTTTCGTGCGGGCAACAAGATGAAATGCTCTCCATCTCCCATTGGTTGGGAAGAGTTCTTCGCGAAGATTGAGAAGGCTTTTGGCGTTTGGGGAGTGGAGGGGAAGAGAATGAGGGGAAGAAGATGAGACGGACCTGAGATACGTAAAGAGAAGACCAACTGAAAGGTCGCTGGAAGAAGGGGTCAATTCGTTTCAGTTGAAGGAGATGATTCGATGTTTGGATGACCAGTTTTCCGGAGCCCACGGGGTCATGAGCTCAACGTTTGCAGCATCTATGTTTCATATTTGACCGCTTTGTCAGATCAAGCATGTCCCAGGAGCCACAAAGGGGTGGTGTTTAGTCCCTAAATGAGTGGATCATGGACACCCCCAACCTCCATTAAGCACCCCTTTGTGACTGCTGGTCTTTTTGTTTTGATCTTATATGATGGAAGCGATGGACCGATAGGTGACCTACGCTCAGTCTTGTCAGAGCGTGGTGTGTGCGATGAGTGTCCCATATCCTTCTGGTCTTGATCAATTCTTGGTGGATGGTGTTATCCTTCGATTTTCGCAACGCCAGTCCTTTGGGGCAGAAATGGAAGGTCCTGGAAGGCTTTGCAGGAAAAGCGAGATTGCCAACGGACGATGAACTCTGTATGGAAACTCACATTGGGATATGATAATCTACACACGGGATCCAGTTACCACCATAGCTGGTCACGAGTTGTTCCAAAGTCAAAGCCACAAACCTTCTCCGAAGTCCTGGTTCCTGAGAATTCATGGCTGCCGACGGGGGGTCCTTTGGGATATGATCCAATGATCCCCCAAATGGGGCGTGCATCAACAGTTTATGAACACTCCCTCAGAACCCATACAGGCCCTCCGGGGTTTTTTCCACGGGTCCCGGCCCTCCGCCTATGCGTTGAAAGGTCAAAATAGGGATGGAGAGATCCTCAAACGGGTCGACTGGATGCAAACCGGCGGGTTTCGTTTGAACCTGAAGTCTCGTTTGATGCGCCAAGTCCGAACTCCCTGTCCGTCTCTTCCGTCTCTTGCCCACCTGAGGGACTAAGTACCCTCCCTGAAACAATCATGGAAGTGGAATACAGCGGGTTCATAAAGGAATTCAGTCTTCCAAGGGGCCTTGTTCCACTTCCATGTTTGTTGGATGGAGCGTAAGTAGGGATTTTAGGTCAAATTTTAGTCTTTGGAACCACTGGTGACCAGCTATGGTACGTGTCTTTTTGCGCTATGCCCACCCCATGTCGTCTTGCGCTATGCGCATCCTGGGAGGACCCCATCCTGCAGCGCTGAGGATGACGCGCGCGCAAGACCCCCACTGCTCAGAGCCGTTCCGCTGAAAACGCGCGGAGCATTTATTTAAGGGATGATCGGTCACAGCAACCTCGAATCTCGGAAGATGCATGGCCATAGCAACATAGCAATGCCCTAGAAGTCCAAAGACTATTTTTTTGACCGGCTGAAGTAAATGAAGTTCCCTTTCAGGTCCCCTAAAGACCATTCTTTTTGTAGTCTTTGACTCCCAGGGAATATACATATATAATCATATATATATATATATGATATCTCATATCTCATGGCCTTGTGAAGTGTCGTGACATAGATGTCGACCGATATCCGATGCGATGTCCGGGGTCGAGTCCATTGGGCGTGCTTGGAGCTGCTGGCGGCACGCAGCTCGGCTAGGACCGGGCTGCGCTGCTGAACGCCTCGGCTTGGTTCGATCACCTTTGTGTCGGGGCCTCGAGGCGCGCAACAGCGCAACACGCGTGGCTGTGGGTGAAGTGATTCCCGGGTGAAGTGATTCCTCCTCTATTAGAGGGATGTCAATCAATGGTTTGGTGGGAGGTCTGGGCTCACAGCCACCTTCTTTTCCCTAGAGTTCCAGTCGTACCTCCTCAGGTTCGGTATGACTGGACCCTTTTGGCAGCCCTCCTTCGCTTGGAGCCCTAGGGTTTGTGATGTGGGAGTTAGGACCATCTCTGAAGACTGAAGAGATAGGAATGGAGTTGTTGTTGGGCATGTTCCATGGTTTTTTGAGATGCATATTCATCGACCTCGGCCTTTTTCCTGCCTGATGAAACATCCAGCTTCAGCCTTGCCACTTTCAAAGCGGAATGTTGGCTGCAACCTGGGCCTCTCAGCGAAGTGGACCAGGATTCTTCTTGCCATCTCTTGTCATCGCTTGCCATCTCTTGGTGCAAAGCAGTTGACTAGAGTTGACTGCTTCTGTGACTGTCAAAAAAATATGTCACCACCTTTGAAGTCAGGGCCGGGAAGGCATTGTGACTGATCTCCTTCCCGGCTCAATCACGTCCACGGCTCCACAACGACTGAGCGGAGCAAACCTGGCTGAACAGGCCGTGGAACCGGACCGAACAAGGAAAAAACATGGTGGGACTCGACCGAAGGGGACCCATTTGCTTGAACCCACGAGCTACGACCAGAACAGATGGTGGTAGTACCCGACGTGCGGGAACCAAAAACCAAATGCAGGAAAAGAAGCACCACGGGAACCAGAAACACCATTCCGGGAACCGGAAACCCGGAGCCCAGATGTACCGTGCATCGTGGAACTACGGGGGGGAATGGGGGTTCTCCAGGTGTTGATTCACTGCCAAATGAATTGAAATTCAACCTGAATTCCGTATGAATTACAACCCAGGCATGACCAAAGTCAGACCAGTCGGACCTGTTTGGAGACCGCGTCCTAACTATAGGTGGTCTTCGGCTGAGAGCCGGGGTGGTTGAGAATCGCTGATTTGAGGGGGGACGGCATAGATTGCAGTCCCAGACAGGTCGTGTTTGGGCAAGGCAAACGCTTTTGGGCATAAGAAATGACCAACATATATTTGATCATCTTTGGATGAGAGTTGTGACGATAGATTCACTCTTCATCTCGAAGCTGTCAACAATTGGTCCGTTTCCGTTGAATTCAGCGCAGCCATCCAAATCGATTGTCGCAGTGGCCCATTCATTGGGCTTCACTGAGATGGCTGATATATGCTGATATCAGCATGGCACATTTTTTTGCTGACCTGGTGCAGAGGAGCACCTTCAGCTGACCCTCGCGAAGATGTGAGCCACGTTTCAAGCTGCGGATCCATCAATGTACCACAGTCAGTGCCATGATGGATTTGAAGATTTTCGGTGATTCTGCACTCTACACCGAAAATGAAGTTTTGGATCTACATCCGAAACTTGGTGTGACCCAGATGGAACCTCAAAACCACTGCATTTGTATTAGATCGAGACATATATAATTAGTCTTTCAAAGGTCCATGTGGGTTGTGAGTCACTGGGTGCCGTATTGTCGTTCGGTCTTCCCCGCGATCGTACCCTTCGGCGCTGGATTCGTGCGATCTGGACTGAGTCTCTCAAAAAGGGCTTGCTCAAATCGGGTTCACACCTGGAAGAGTCAGATGACTGTCCTTTTTTTGGGCAGGACCTATCTCACACCAATCGCCCACCCAACAGATCTTCGAACTTCCAAAACAGCATGGCCATGGACTCTGTCGGGCAACTGCGGACAGTGGAACTCGACGAGCACCCGACCGGGTGAAAGACACAAGCTGCGCAACTGCCAACGGGGCGTTGAATTCTGCGGAGGATTGGACTGGTGAGGTGGAAAGGGCACCGGGATTGAGATGTTTATGTTGCCCCATTGAAGTACAGTGCCTTGGGCGTCTAAAGACCATTTTTCAGACACCCCACAGACAGAATAAGTGAAGATTAAGGCGCCCATGGATGACGCACCATGCGGGGGGCACAGAACCCGCGTTTTCATGGCCACATGCATATGCTGGCTCCAAACATACATATACAATCATATATAATCATATATATATTATGTTTCATCCCACTTGGATAGTATGACAGTATTGAAAGTGTCATACATTATATACCCAAGGCCCATTTGACCTTGTTTTGTTAGGGCAATATTTTGGGTGGTTGGTGATACAAACTGGAGGTCGCTGGAGGTAGGTGTATATTATATATATACATATTGTATTATACTATATATTATACAAATTTATACTATATTGGATTTTGTTGGAATCAAGGTTGTTTGAACGCCTTAGACTCCCTGGTTTGTTGGTCCGGCAAGCCGGGAATAGCTGGGACGCACTCGCATTTGAGACCATGGTGGAGCATGAAAAGCGCTGTTGGCACATTTGCAGATGTGAATATGTTTTTACAGATTATATAGGGGATTCAGGTGTGTGAATATGTCTCTACAGATCAGGGGATTCAGGTGACGAGTGATCATGATCTGCTTTGTATCTAGACAATTCCCTTCCAGATCATTCCAAATCTAAAGTTTCATTCTTGGTTTGGTTTCAACCTCCCACTCCACTAACTTTCTTCCGGATTTGATACTACTTGACCGGTCTTGGACCTCGGTTGTTGTTTAAGCGCCCAAGTTGGAAACACCAGTTGTGGGAAGAGTACCAAAGCATACCATCCTCCAAATCAAGACTTAGCAACAGACACCCATTCAGGCTTGAATCGGCCGCTCAACATCAGTGGTTCTCGGCTGCACAGGTTCTTTGCAGCAAAAATCCTGACCTCCCGCAACACACCTCCTGTGCTCCAGGAAGGACTAAGGAATATAATTGGAGATCAGAGTCAACAAGAGGCAGCTCAGAGGCCGCCTCCGAGTAATCCATCTATAATCTTCCTCCAGACACCTCAAAGTGACCCTTTGATATATGGACCTTGGATATAGGTTGTTCATACCATCATATATATCAAAGGGTCACTGGGCGCCCAACACAACAAGGAGGCCTGGTTTCAACGCCAATCCAGTGCCAAGCGCCCTGCCTTCACACGACATGGCAGGGCGCAGGACAGGGCAGGGCGTGCTTGTGCCCTCCTCCGTCCGCCAGACTCCTCCGTCCGCCCGCGTCAGCTGCGAAGTGGCCGAAGTTCACGACGTTGTAGGTAGCCTTGAAACCTTTTGAGTTCTCGGACGTATTTAGAGTGACGGACCGACTTGGACACATCTTGTTCCCCACATGCCAGGTGAGGGTTGTTAGATTTCATCAGAGCTCTTCTCCTTCCGCCTCCTCCTCCTACTCCTCCTCGCCTTCCTTCTCAACCGCAAGTGCCAGGTCGCAGTGAGCGCTACCGGACCTCAGTGGGCACATCGCAGTGGGCACTCTAGGACCTGAGAACACAAAGGCACAACCCACAAACGCACAATCGCAAACACGGTCACGGAACCACAGTCACAAGCACACAACCACCAAAAAAAACAAACACACACACACACTTATATAGAGTCAAAGTTTCGGTGAGGGATCAGTCAGCTCAAAAGGGATGTTTCACAAAAGGGTTGCAACAGCGCGCATGTCGGCCGAGTGATAAACCGCTGCAATGGCTGGGAAATTGTTCTAGTTACAAAAGGGGGGCCCAGGAGGAACTGAAACGTTGATCACTGCAGGTACGCTGTGATGATCAGTCCCAGTACCACCAGGAAAACCTGTGCAGTATAGAATTCCAGCAAAGAATCAGCGTGAACTCGCCAGTAAAATTGCAGAAGATTCGTGAAAGTTAGCTGAGCAGTCATCGGCTGCCAAAGCATAAATGCATGATCAGTGAACGATTTCCGGACTGGCTTCGGCGCCCCTTGCGGGGATCACACTGCATACCCAGGTGGGAAGATGCAGCAGGTCACACACAGAGTCAAAGTTCCAGCGAGGGAACATCAGCTTCAGTGTGTTTCAGTGGTGAATACGTAGCGCTTGAGTCGCAAAACGGCAAGGTGATCAGTCAGCTCAAAAGGAACAAAATGATTGCAACAGCGCGCGCGTCGGCCGAGTGGTAAGCCGCTGCAATGGCTGGGGAAATTGTTTTAGTTTTGTGATCGCCGGACCCATTCTAACTCTGTGAATCTTGAAAAATTAAATGCAATAACAAAGCAAAAACAGCAAGTACAAACAACAAAAGCAAGAAACACATATCAAAAAACAAAAGCAAACAAATGCAAATCCAAAAAGAAAAAACAAATGAAAAAGCAAACGCACAAACACAAATCGAAAACGCAACAAAAAAGGCAAATGAAAAAGCAAAAGCCCCAAAAACAGCAAAGTGAATGCAATTTTCTGCTATTTTTTCGCTTTTTTGATCTTTTTTTGGTGTGTGTGTTGTTTCTTCGCGTTTTTTTTTTCTGATGTGTATTTTTCCGCTTTTTTATATATTTGTTGTTTTTTGTGTGTTTTTGTTGTTGTTTTTGTTTTGCTTTTTTTGTTTATTTGTTTGGTTTTCGCTTTTTTTTGTTCTTTTCGCTTTTTGTTGTTCATTTGCTTTTGTTTTTCGCTTGTTTGTTTGTTTTTTTCACTTTGTTTTTTGTTTCGCATTTTTGTCGCTTTGTGCATTTTAATTTGCATCTTTTTGCTTTTTGGAC